AAACGTTAACGTTAACCGTAACGTAACGTTACGTTACGTAACGTACGTACTTACGTACGTACGTACGACGTACGTGTCGTGTGTGTGTGTGTGTGTGTGTGTGTGTGTGTGTGTGTGTGTGTGTGTGTGTGTGTGTGTGTGTGTGTGTGTGTGTGTGTGTGTGTGTGTGTGTGTGTGTGTGTGTGTGCACGTGATGGCAGTCTTACCCTGTGGACTGTTATCTCTCTGTGTTCTCTCCAGCTCAAAAGCTCTCTGCCCCCATTCCTCCACTCTCACTCTCTCCATCCCCTCACCCCTCATCTCCTCTCCCTCCCAGGACACTTTGTGAGCTGGACTGTGTTCTGAGCAGCAGGCCGATGCAGGGGGGAGGTTGGGTGCCACGCTGCACACTGCGATACCCCTCCGATTGGCCAAACCTCGGACATTAGACATGTCTGAGAGGAAGCTGCTCAACTGTAGAAGAAGAGAAAAACAACAATGCACAAAAAAGACGATTTGTGTACAGTCAACAAATACAATGAAAAGTCAGTCATACACACATCCTACTGCTCCGCTAGTACATGGCTCAAAATAGTCATAATAAGATAATAAAATAAAAGTAGATATTTAGGAGCTATTTTTTATAATTTACTACTTTAGGTCCAAGAGCCAAAGACAGGGCCAGGAAGTGAGAGACTAATGTGTGTTGACTTTGGTCTTTTTATAACACTTATATAGACTATCCCCAGCCTATACTTTTCTTTAAAGCATATTTTATATTGCTTGTATAGCATTTGTTTTAACGTTTAAAGAACAAAACAAAACCAGAGGAAAAGTTTATGAATTCATTTCAGCCCAGGTCGGATCATTATAGTAGCAGGGGATTTGTTTTAATACCACCAATCAATGGATGCGTTATGAATTTTCAAATTATTCTCATGGTGGCTCTGAATCCAAATTGCTTTTTTTCTCCTAATCCTGTAATATTAATATTCGCATCACAGCACCATACATTCTGTTATTTGACCCCATTATCACTAATCGAGACAGGAGATTATGCACCAGAGAGCTGTTTTGGATCCACTCTTTAGGAAATTGCAACCTGAGTCTTAACGATGATTAACACATCATTCATTAACAGCATATTCTTTAGCTGTATATGGTATATTGACACAGGTGTTCTTTATTAAGGCTAATCTAGTGTACTGCTGCATTCACCTGCTCTCTGTTGTTGCCTTGAAGCAGGTCTCTAACTGAAAGCTTGCTTATTAAACAGATGCTTGCACAGATTTGAGAGCAAAGGTTTGTTTGGTTTTGTTTTTCATAACACTTTCCATTATAACGGCAATTTCATTATGCCATAATTTCTTTGAAATCAGAACTCTTTCATCACTCTACTTCCTACCACAAAAGCCCTTTTTTATTTTTCGCAATTCAACTGCGAGGACAGAAAAACATGTTTTAATATTTGGCTAAATATGACTAAAAGAGGTACTATCATTTTTGAGTCTTTGTCAAACAATAAAAGACTAAAACGGAATAACAAAAGCACAACATCATTAAAGGGGGAGCTGGAGGATATTCTGATGTAACTATTGATAGGTGTTTACATTTCATTTCATTTTCTAATCGGTGTGCAGTGTGACATTATGTGTTCTGGTTTTATGTATCAGTATTTTGTAAGTAACTGTGACTGAAAGAATATTGCTTTTATTTTTATTTTTTTAAGAAGGGGCAGGTAAAATAAGATTTTCATCTCCCTGCTCCTTTCCCACATGCGCTATACAAATAAATAAAAATACAACCAGTATAAGTGTACATGTTTTGTGAAGTGTACATGTGTTGGTTTAAAATAACTGCCATGTGTGGAATAAACTAATACAACAATTATTTTAAAATATGTATATCATTTCTGACTCACTATCAAAAACCAAAATTGCCACGACAAAGTATCTCAGTCCTGTTAAGATACAGGAGACATGCATATTAATTATAATCATTAATACAGTCATGCACACTTTTGTATACCTGACTGCCCTCACTGGATGTGGTCCTTTCCCCATCTCCCCCCCTCATACCCTGGCTGCTGAATGCTCCTGGTAAGGGGGAGTGGTTAGTGGGGTGCACCATGACCTGGGGGGGGCCCCCAGTGCCACCCCCCACCTCACCATAGGTGCTCGTGGTGGCTGGAGATCCCGACACACGCACGGCTTTAAACTCAATCCCTTCTGTGCCCATGCCAGTCTTGTGCAGCATGTATCTGGTCTCCGTGGAGATAGCTGAAACCCCCATGACAGCCTGAGTCCCCGGGCCTGGGTCTGACTCTTTCCTGAATTTTATTTTCTTCCTGAAGGCGATGAAGAGTACGAGGAGGAAGATGATGACAAAGATAAGGACCCCGATGCCCACAATCTCTCCTGGTCCGACATAAGATAGGGGCTCCGCCTGGGTAACACAAAGATAAATATAATATTTAAAAACATCCAAATAACCGTACTGTATCGCTGTCTGGTTGAATTCACCTCCATTTAGATAAATAATAATCACATATTTCCGATTTGATGAGAAAAGAAGGTGTTATGATAAAACCTGTCCTTAAAAATGCACATTATCTCTAATAAGAAATGTTTCCAAGGTAGGAATCCAGCATTTTTCCCTTACTCCGATAGTTACAGTAGTGCCAATTATTAGAAAGTATCCAAGCAACCATACAACTGCAGTAAATATTCATGCTTATGGTAGGTATGAGGGCACAGAGACAGTACAGTTGACCTTCCAAGCCCAATTATTCTTCGGAGTTTGGTGTAAATTTAGAAAGACCACCAGCATTACACAAATGTTACAACCAAAAATAGTGTTGGTGTAAAATTAAGATTCTATATCATGTGATGTTAGATAACATTTATTGTGTATATTCCTACTGCTCAGGATTGCAAGCATCACATCTTTGGTCTTGGAGTAAACAGGACATTAAATACTTTAGCATCATTGTTTCTTAATAAGATACATGATAAGTAGGCTCCAGTAAAAAGGCTTTATTCCCAGTAGGAGACCTTTAAATGTCCAAAAAAACAACAAACAAAGCAAACGTATTAATTGCTTGTGAAAGCAGCCTAATAGGATTTTTCAAATGGCTACTTCTCTACTAATTACTGTCTTCTAGGGAATAATGAAGCACCTTCTCAAAATGTGTAACATGAATAGTTGTACTGTCTCTTTTTAAAAAAATAGTGCATGACAAAAGTTAAGTGTGACAACTTCAAAAGGACTCTTACATTTCTCCATTACCACACTTTTATTCATCTACTGCCGGGACAAAGATACAAAGCTAATGAAAAACCGTCTGGGAGTCTGCTGCACAATAACAATTATTGACTGCTTCACAAAGTTTGAGGAAAAAGTCCATTGAGAAGCAAGATGAAAGCGCAAAATTGAGTACTTTTTCAATTATACTTTTAATTATATTCTGTAAGATGTACTCCTATGTGAATTCAGAGTTTCTCAAACGTTACCTGTGTGTCACCCCCCTCATCGTCAGGTGACTGATCCTCACAAAGCTGCCCCTCGTACCCCTCTGAGCAGTTACAGTAGAACGACCCGAACGTGTTCACACACACGGCTTCATCTCCACAGCTGTCCTGCTCACACTCATCAACATCCTGGTCACATCTGCAGAGGCACATGGACAAAAGCATTGCTGTGCGTGGGAGTGGTGAGGATATATTAGCATCAAAGTGAAGGACAATAATTAATAATAAAAGTGTGTCAGCGAGTTAAAAAGAGAGAAAGAAAACTGGCTAGACACACAGGCTAAAAACGGGCCGATGTATTACTATAATGTTGAAAGCCTGCCCTTAAGCAACACCATCAATTAGGAAACTGGTGTCACAGCAACTCTCACCTAGGGTACCTTATGGCTGTGTGGTCCTATGCTGCAAAAAATATGTGATACAATTCCAGCTTACACAAAATGGAGCCTAAAGGCACGTTTTGAACTTTAAAACTCAGTTAAACAGAACATGTAGTGTCTGGGGATCTTATTACCTTCACACAATAAATAAATTAAATATCTTTAAAAAAACAAACACTTAAACTAGAATGAATGACAGGGACCAACCAATATTAATTATACGTCAGGCCATAAGGTTTTGTTTGGGGTTTTGAATAACTTGTTTGTTTAATAACCTCTGATTAATATATTTGATTAATTGCTGTTTTGATTCCTTAGATTTCAGATTTGTAATTGTATGCAATTTGTTTCTGTTATATGATTATGCTGTCAGTGTTTGCTTTACTTGACATCCTGGTCACATCTGCAGAGGCACATGGACAAAAGCATTGCTATGCATGGGAGTAGTGAGGATTATTAGCATCAAAGTGAAGGAGAATAATTAATTATAAGTGTGTCAGCGAGTTAAAAAGAGAGAAAGAAAATGTATTATTCTCATTGATGTGGTTCTTATTAAAATAAATATTTGTGAATGCAATCACACACACACATAAACACACACACACACACACACACACACACACACACACACACACACACACACACACACACACACACACAGTCTTAGATATTGACTTCAATTAAAGCCACTACCAACACTCATAATTGCTTCTCATTGTCAGTCCGCGCATGGTGCCTTGCTGTGAAAGAGGGGGATAAGTATATATTTTTTTCTTTTCAACTGCTTTTTTTTGACGACATTTTCAAAACACTCTGCAGGAGTTGGTCCGATGTAATAAAATAAAATAAAAAAATTGCTGAGAAACTTACTTGTAAAACTAATCAAGTTTTGCTTTAAATGGTAACTAAATTAAGGAGTCATTAAGCATTAGTGTCCGTCTCAGGCCTGGATATATTGTCCAGTGTTATCCTAATGAATACATTACAGCCTAATTTACAATAAATCATGATCGAGGATTCAGCTTTTAAATGAAACTTTTCCCCCTTTAACGGAATGTTTCAATTAATCATATTGTTTGTATTGTATATTGTTATACAAAAGCTCATATTTAAATGTGGTATTATTACTAATCAATCTGCAGGAAAAATCAATTTCCAATTACCCTCAACAGCTGCCTTTGGCTTGAATAGTGTTCACTATAGCAATGGTTTCAATTTGCGTTTATCATTAACTGATAATGATAAGTACAATCTGCTGCCAGCAGAGAACATCTTCATTTTTAACTTTCTTATTATTTAGCTAAATTCAGTTCAACTTCATCAAAAGCTTTGTCAGTACATAAAAAAGCAGAAACATGAACTCCATTGAGGGAAAACTGCTCTCTTGTGGCGGCTTCATTGAACAACCACAGTAGCAGGAAGGTCATTTCAGACGCAATTAATGAGCTGTAATTAAGAACGCAGCTAGAGAGTTATTACGTTCTTTCAAACTAAATTATACTGAATTAAATTAGAAGAGTAATTTATTTCACTCAATAAAGTAAACATACATAATAAAACAACACAGTGTACTAATGTGGAGGGATGATTGTGTGTGTGTGTGTGTGTGTGTGTGTGTGTGTGTGTGTGTGTGTGTGTGTGTGTGTGTGTGTGTGTGTGTGTTTCACGTTTGAATGCATGAGAGTGTGTCACATTCTAACTCAATACTCACTTCCCGTCAGTGAGTACGTACTGTGTGAACAGAGATCAACATTCATCAACACTGTTTTTACAATCAATAGTTTAGGTCTAAAAGTGTGTGAGGGTGAGGGTGCAGGATACTTTTTCTTACATAATTCCCCCGAGTCCTGTAGGACAGCCACAGAGGAACGCACCGCCGACAGGCTTACATTCCCCCCCGTTCTGGCATGGGTTCGGCATGCAGGATGTCAATTCAACTTCACAGCGCCCCCCAGTAAAGCCACCGCTGCAAGTGCACACGACGCCTGTTGGAGAGAGATTCAAAATGTGTCAAATAAAAATGTAGATTTAACTTGAATAGCTGACTGTGTATCTTAACACAAGCTGATGGTCACTACTGCACAAACAAACCATCACATTCAAATGAAGCTGAAATTGAGGCAGAAGCTATAAGATTGAGTGAATCTGTTTCAGAGGGCAACATTTATTACGCTCATTTATTTATACAACAAGATGACTAACACCCACACACATCCATCCACACAGACCTCCAGAGGGCAGGCTGCTGCACATGGCTCCGTTGAGGCAGGGCTGACTGACGCATGGATCCGGATAAAGCACGCAGCCCAACTTGACCTCGCTCAGGCCGGCGATCTCGGCATAACGGCTCCTCTTATTTTGGAGAGGCAGCTCGTTGCCGTTCAGCCTCAGCGAGCCCAGGCATCCCTGGAATCCGTCCTGGGCTCTTGGCTGGGCCTTCGCCCCCCGGTCCCAGAGCCCAGGCCCCGGGCTCGGCCTCTCGCTCGGCCCGCTCACTGGCCTCACTTGGGCCCCAAAGAAAAATGATGAATCTGGGGCCAGAGGCCAAAGGCGAACAGGAGCTCTGGCTGCTCGCCTGCGCTCAACATAGCTGTCATCCAGTGACAGGAGGGTATAGTTCCTAGTCAGCTCCAAGGCAACAGCATGCCAGAGGCCGTCGTTTATTGGTCTGCCAGAGATACCCATAATGCCAAGGGTGTTGTCACAGTCCAACTGGAACCAGAGTCGACCCTCTTCAATCTGTGGAAGGACAGGGAACATATGCTTTAAAAAAATGATGGTGAGAAACAGCACACCCTTTGGGACACGATGATGTGTTTACCTTGAGCATGGTGCAGGGGTTAACACGTGTGAACATAATGACTCCTCTTCTCTGAAGTGTTCGGATCCTCAGGCCGAGCCTCATCTCTCCACTTTGGCCGCTCTCTGTCACTCTGTACTTAATGTAGCTGTTTCCAGAGAAACTAAGAGAGGTTTGGCCTACAAGTCCACAAAACATATACACAATTCAAAAAGAGAAACTGATAGAATTTTTCCCCCAAATGCATCAGATACATAGGTATACAATTCAAGCAGCAAAGTAAATCATACCTGCACACTCGTCTAGTTTCTCAGGCTGACACTGGCAGACAGATGGCGCTGTAGGACCAGAGCGGACACACTGCATGTCTGCTGGACAGGACTGACCTTCACAAAGTTCCACAGGACTGGAGCAAGTCCCCCCTGTTTGGGCCAGATACAAAAACCACATTAGAAAATAATAACTCTAGGAAGAAAAACAGCTTGAAAGGTCTCCTATTATTCTGTTTTTCATCAATATATTATAGGTCTCAGATATATACAAAACATGTCTCTGAAGTGTTTGGCTCCAAACACAGAACCTATCATTGCAGCATCCCATAATCCCCTCTGTTTCGGCCCTGTTTCAAAAGTGCTGATTCTCTGTCTGTTACTTTAGATGAAAATAAGGAGCCCCTCCCCACGCCCCTCTGAGAGATATTTGGTTAAAAAGAACACAATGGTGCTCTAGGAGGAGGTTCAAGTGATAAGGTGGGGGGGTTACCTTGGTTACCAAGGTAACCCCCCCACCTTATCACTTGAACCTCCTCCTAGAGCACCATTGTGTTCTTTTTAACCAAATATCTCTCAGAGGGGCGTGGGGAGGGGCTNGGATGGTTTAAAAGCAGAGCACAAATGTCGCTGTGTGTGCTGTGTGCTCTGCATGTGTGACCATTAAAGAGGGTTTCATCCCTCTGATTCTATTCTATTCTATTAACTGAAAATTGGCC